TGATTCTACAGAAATGCAAGCTTGAGAGCATAAGTTTCTACACTGATATCCAGAGGTGACCCTGGAAGTAAATGATGAATTGAAGTAAGACCTAGTTCACCACTTTGAAGTCAAATGAAGATTGCATCAACATTCATGCATTCATAAGAATATCATTTACACAATAGACAATGCATTACATTGATACATCTGAGTGCATTCAAACATGAAGTTTTACAGATCTTCGGAATAACAAGAAGATTCATGGTAAGAAATACCTTACAAGAAGAAGGTATTCAAAACCGCAAATAGAGGAATCATGCAAACATCTGAAGAAGTGATGGATGCAATACACAAGAATGAAAATTATCTTGAGATTGGGGCATGTTACCCAATCAACATGTTATTTCAAAAAAATAATGAGAAAACGATTTCCATAGTTTCTCATTTTATCTTTTCTAAAATGAAATTGTTGAAAAGTAAGAAAACGATTTCCTTAGTTTTTTACTTAGTAAACTATTTCCAACAGTATTATCTTGAGATTGGGGCATGTTACCCAATCAACATGTTATTTTGAAAAATAATGAGAAAACGATTTCCATAGTTTCTCATTTTATCTTTTCTAAAATGAAATTGTTGAAAAGTAAGAAAACGATTTCCTTAGTTTTTTTTACTTAGTAAACTTTTTCCCACATCTGTAAGTCCTTCAGTGCATGATGTTTTCAAAAAGCCTTTGGGAGCTTTTTGATGTTTTCAAAACCTTCGGGTCATCTGTAAGCCCTTCAGTGCATGATGTTTTTCAAAAAAGCCTTTGGGAGCTTTTCGATGTTTTCAAAACCTTCGGGTCATCTGTAAGCCCTTCAGTGCATGATGTTTTTCAAAAAGCCTTCGGGAGCTTTTTGATGTTTTCAAAGCCTTCGGGTCATCTGTAAGCCCTTCAGTGCATGATGTTTTTCAAAAAGCCTTCGGGAGCTTTTTGATGTTTTCAAAGCCTTTGGGTCATCTGTAAGCCCTTCAGTGCATGATGTTTTCAAAAAAGCCTTCGGGAGCTTTTTGATGTTTTCAAAGCCTTCGGGTCATCTGTAAGCCTTTCAGTACAGGATGTTTCCAAAAAGCCTTCGGGAGCTTTTTGATGTTTTCAAAGCCTTCGGGTCGTCTGTAAGTCCTGCAGTGCATGATGTTTTCAAACATTTTCATCCTACTCAATTGAAGCCAAATGAAAAAAAATTATTGTCTTTTTCGTCTTTGCTCTATTCTTGTTAACACAAGGATGAGCAAAGAGGGGCAGCTGTAAACATCAATTTTTTCATTTTAAATTTAAATTTATTATAATTATTATTATTATTATTATTATTATTATTATTATTATTATTATTATTATTTATATATTATTTATTAAATATTACAAAGCCCAAGTACAAGAACTCAGGCCCAGTTTGCAAGCCTAAACAATGTGGCCCAGATACAGAAGCCCAACATAAACCCTAAAACCCAACTAGGGTTTCTCATCTCATGCCCCAGCCGCCTCAGCTTGCTACCGTTGGATCTGGCAAGATCCAACGGTCCAGAGATACCCAATAAGGAAACCCTAGGGTATCATAACCCTAGGGACACGTCCCAGCTGCCAGTGCCACGCCACGACACCGCCACCTCGCTGAAGAATCCAGAAGCTTTGTTGCTTCAACACCTGCCGCCCACGTCGCAAGCTCTAGGGGTGAGTCACCACATAGCTCGGTGACTCACCGAACTCCACCCTTAGGATCGGTCCGAGACAAGCGTCGGTGATGGCTATAAAGCCATCACCCAACCTGCAAAGAAGGGGAAGGACAACCAGCAAAAACAGAGAAGAAAAAAAAGAAGAAAGGAAGAACGGATAACAAAAACCCCACAACACAGCAAGGAAAGGAAGGAGGGAGACTTACCGTGGAAGCCACCGCCTTGATCGGAGTCACCACCAACCTCTAGACGTCACCAAAAACCTTCGAAAACCGAAGGTATATTCTTAGATTTGCTCCGATCGGGAGCTATTTAAAAGAAAAGACCACCGGAACCGTCATTAGGACGGTCCGATCTACGTTTTAGTGTAAAAAAAAATTATTCCGGCCACCGAAGGCGGTGGCCGGCGGCGGGGTCAACGCCGGTGAACGGCTGCCGGCTGGAGAGCTTCTCTCTGTTTTAGAGAGAAGCGAGAGAATTTGCATTCTCTCAGAGAAGAGAGAGAGAGGAAAAAAAGAAGAAATGAGAGCTGGCCCTTCGGGCCAGCCGGTTTCGGGCTTAAATAGCCCTTCCCGAACGACGTCGTTTCGGGGAGGGCTATTTGTGTAATTTTTAATTGTTAAATCCCGTCCGCAACCATCCTAACTTGTAATCTTTACATTTTAGTCACTAAATCAATTTATAATCCTTTTAATTCGGTTCTTTAATTTTAATTTTATTTATTTTAGTCCTTTCTATTAAATAATATATTTAGGATAAATACGTATTTAGTCCTTTAGTTTTAATAAATAATATTTTAATCCCGAGTATATATTTTTAATTTATTTTAATCTGATATTCGAATTTTTTATAATTTTATTTTAGTCACCAAATTAATAAATAAGGAAAATAGCATGTTTAATCCCTATAATTTTAAATAATTAATTATGAATTAGGTATTTAATTTTATTAGATTATAATTTAGTCCCTAAGTTTAATATTTTCATTTACAAGATTTATTTTTTTTTATTTTTCATACCATGTTTTAATTGTATTTTAAACATTATTACTTTTATATATTTATGTTCATATATATTTAATTATCATTACTATTACTATTATTCTTTATTAATTATGTCAATATATATAGTCTTATAAATATATATAATATTCATTTATTTATTCTATTTTCCTATTTATAAATTTAATTTTATAAATTACTTTTAAGAAAAATAATCATATTTTGATATTTATTTATTTTTAATATAAAAGAAAAGAGATGTCTTAAGGTACCTAGAAGCTCTTTTCTGATATTTTTGAATAAATAAATATCTTACTATATTAAAATAAAATGTTTTTGATATTTATTTTTAAATATCAAAGAAAAGAGCTGTCTTAAAGCACCTAGAAGCCCTTTTCTGATGTTTCTAAATAAGTAAATATCTTATTTATGTATATTAATATATTTTCTTAAAATTATTTGAAATAGTAGAATTATGAATTAAATATATCTTTGAATTTTTAAATTTCCAATAATAGAGACAACTTATAATTAAAAAGTACCAATTTTGGGCGTTGTAGGGGTGCTAATCATTCCCTAAACGTAACCGACCACGAATCCCTTTTTATTATTAAAAAGAACGAATTTTTGGTTATAAACGCATATCAGTTCATCTTTTAACTGATGTTTTCTTAAAACTCTTTTAAAATATAATTTTTAGGTATTCGACTTACCTAACCCAAAAGGCCGATGGCGACTCCCAAATTATTTTAAAACCCACTTATTCACATCACTTTTTCCCGCCAAGTTAAAAATTTCGTGTCCGGACGAAAACCGGTTACGACACAAAGCTTTATATTTCTAAATCATCAGACACTCGAAGATCAAATTGATACTGAGATGGCTATGGAAAGCAGTCTCCATGCAACATGTAATCAGTTGATATTAGAGAACGTATGGGAAAACTTCATCGGTGGAGAAGAAGCAACAACAAAATCAACGTCTAAATCCTGGGAAGAACTTCCATGCCTTGATAGAATAGAGGGTTCTTCGATGGGAGCCGATGCCTGGGAGGGTCTTCTCGATGGGATAATTCCTTCAGGTCAATTCTGTAACGATGGAAAGAGCAAAGATATAAGCACCCGAGGTGTTAAAGAGAAGGCGGCGACGAGATACTACCGGGGAGTGAGACGACGGCCGTGGGGAAAGTACGCGGCGGAGATAAGGGATTCGTCGAAGAAAGGAGCCCGGGTGTGGCTCGGAACATTTGAAACAGCCGAGGAAGCCGTCATGGCGTACGACAAAGCTGCTTTGAGGATTCGAGGCCCCAAAGCATACCTTAACTTCCCACTAGAGATGGTTCGTGGAGCTATGGGGATTGACAACACAAAAAGCACTGATCAATTGCACCATCGTTCGTCGAGTGCTGCTTATGAAGGTCTAGGAAAAAATCCGAAAAGGGAGTGTAGAGGCTGGGAGGAAAACGGTGAGATCGAAGAGCCTAAACGAAAGAGACTGGCGACTGGTGAAGAGGATGTATTTGAGTTTCAGGATTTCGGGAGTGATTATTTGGAGAGTTTGCTGTCTTCTTTTTAACACTAGTAGAATTGCATGCATAAAGTAACTCGAATCAAACGCTATCCGAATCAAAATCAATCTGAATTTAATTTGCTCAAATTTAATTTGAACAAACTTTAACACAATTTTAATATGATAATTGAGTTGAAGTGAACAAATAATTTATTTAGATTATTATCTATTTTTTAGAAATGTGATAAATAATGAAATTATATATGTTTTATTTTCTTTTTAGATTATACAAGTGGTTAACCACCTCCTTTGGTAATAGTTTAATGATTTTATGTTATCTTTCCCCTTTTAAAAGACCATATTTATATATGTTTGATATATTATATTTCTTTTAGAAAAATATATTAATTAATTATATTTAAAAAATTCATATATTCATGTTTATTTTTAGCATTACTCCATCTTCTTCTTTTTTTTCTTTTTTTTGATAATTCTGATTTTATTATCCAATGCAAAGTTAAAATACAACCAATCAACCAATCAACAACAAAATGAAAACAACTTGTATTACAGGTCCACTAAACAAACCCTAGAGCAACTTGTATTTTTATAAAATTATAATCATCATTAGTCCCAATGATCTCTTCCTTGCCCAACACTTAAACCAACAAACGCCGGCACCAAACCTACTTTACTCACCTATTTTTGTATCCTTGCACTCAAGACAAGATAACCCCCCACCCTTCAATCATTCCACTTTGAAGTTGGACGATCGGTCGGATTGCACCGCCTTGTTAAAACCCCCCTCCCCTCTCCTTCCATCCCATTGAAAGCAGCACAAAAAAATGAGCACAGCAAGGTTCATCAAGTGTGTCACCGTTGGCGACGGAGCAGTGGGAAAGACTTGCATGCTCATTTCCTATACCAGTAACACTTTTCCCACGGTAAATAACGACGGTAGATCGTTTAATATTTTCATGCATGTGATGGAGCGATAACTGATAAGCAAAGCAATGTTTTTTTTTGGGGTTAGGATTATGTTCCGACAGTTTTTGACAACTTTAGTGCCAATGTGGTGGTCGACGGCAGCACGGTGAACCTCGGGTTGTGGGACACTGCCGGTGAGTTGATGAATTCGCAGCGTTATGATGAATGGTGTGGACTGAGTTTTCTGAATTGCAGGGCAGGAAGATTACAACAGGCTAAGACCTTTGAGTTACAGGGGAGCCGATGTGTTTCTGCTGGCGTTTTCCCTGATTAGCAAGGCCAGTTATGAAAATATCCACAAGAAGGTAAATTTGCTGCCTGTGTTCTTACGCTTCTCTTAATGTTCCATTTGACACGACGACCACTGGATTCTTGGTTAACAGTGGATTCCCGAGCTAAGACATTATGCTCCTCATGTCCCAATTGTGCTTGTCGGAACCAAACTAGGTAAGATTATCTAATCAACACATTCTGTTTTTTCAAGCAAAAATTATTATCGTTGTATCCCCTCTTCATAGAATCATCGTATGCGATTCGTCCGAACTAGAATGAGTGAACTGTCAAACACCGTTACTTACAACTCCATTTCTCCCATCGACAAATATAAACCATGTTCTACAATTGATCCTACCCAAATGCAGATTTGCGAGATGAAAAGCAGCTCTTGAGTGATCATCCAGGAGCAACAGCAATAACAACATCTCAAGTATGCTTTCGAAAATCAAACATATAGAGTCGTGTCGGACACATAATCATATCTGAAACTCTAATACATGTTGGAAACTTTGGTGAGCAGGGTGAGGAACTAAAGAAAATGATAGGAGCAGTTACCTACATTGAATGCAGCTCCAAAACCCAGCAGGTACCCTATTTCCCAAAAATCCAAAACCATCTCAATATTAATTTGCTGATATCTGCAAATCTTTAAAAGGCTCAACTTTCCCATCCGTTCAGAATGTGAAGGCTGTGTTCGATACGGCAATAAAGGTAGCTTTGAGGCCACCAAAACCAAAGAAAAAGTCTCACAAGAGAAGATCATGCCTTGTCCTTTGAATTTCAATCAGCATTACACTCCAATACTCGATCGAAAACTGTCTGCAGAAACAAGTATCATCTGCTATATCATTTTACCATTGATTCTTTTTACATAATTCCATATGAATTTATATACACGAAGGACATATATATCGATTAAAAGTTTGTGATCATCTTTTTCAAGTGAACTTTAATGTTATTTGGTCTTGTTTACCTTTATAGCATCCGAATATCGCAAAACACTACAACATCTTATAAAATTTACCTATGCAATAAGTAAAATTCAACTTAATTTCCATACAGAATTTAAGTCAATATCTAATATATTTTGTTCACACAAATTTCATTAAAAGTGAATAATGCGAGATCGATATAGAAATAATACACAAATAGAGACGAAATTTACGTGATTCAGTATTATCTATTTTTACATATGAGAAAAATAATAATTCACTATATATGATATCTCATGTATCCTAAAACGTGATATATATACTAAAACCCGGTGCATATCACTCTAAAATAATTCTATCTCATAGTTTAAAGGCTAGAACATACTTATTAACTAAATAAATTTAAGGGTAAACTACGCATTTAGTACCTAAATTATTAGTTTTGATCATTTTAATATCTGAACTTTTAACTTTTTTTCAAAAACACACCTAAAATTTAATTTTTGTTTTATTTTAGTACTTCGTCGTTAAAAATTTTAGTTTTTATTTCATTTTAATACCATATTCAAAATTTAACACTAAGTTTTAAAAAAAATTAAAAGTTTGGGTATTAAAACGGATCAAAATTAATAGTTTAGGTATTAAATATGTTAAGTTTTTAACGACCGTATACTAAAAAACTGATAATTTAAGTCCTAAATGTATATTTTACCGTATGTTTAATTATTAAGTAATATTCAAACAGTAAAACTATAATAGAATTTAATTTGATTTTTAATTAGAATTTGAGTTAATATATGATAATTAATCTAATTTATTGAATAAAGCTAATCGGCTAAAAGAAAATGAAATTTTAACAACACGAATAGGTTATGGGATTAATTGTTACCAAACAAAACAAACCTTTTGGGCTCCGGAATCACGGGAAAAGTGGTAACTCACCCCAGCTGTTCTAATATTAGCCATTGCCCTCGAGCGTTTAGCTGTCTCTCTTGTTCTTCAGGGTTTCCCAAAACCCAGAATCTTCCACCCCCCCCCCCCCAAAATGCCAACTTTTACAAGTAATTTACCCTAATAACAAGCAAAAACATCCACAACAAAACAAAAGGCGTTTCTTCTTCCTTTTCTTGTTTTGTTTTGTTCTCGTGTTTCTTTTTAAATATACTTTTGTTTGTCAATTGAAGACAACATCGGAGAACACAAAAACAGGGAACAAGAACAAGAGGAGAGAGAGGCAAAAAAAGAGAGAAGACAAAATGGGACATTACAGAGCTGATGAGGAATATGATTACTTGTTTAAACTGGTGTTGATAGGGGATTCTGGTGTTGGGAAATCCAACCTTTTGACTAGATTTACAAAAAACGAGTTCACCCTTGACTCTAAGCCTACAATTGGAGTAGAGTTTGCAACTCGCAATATTCATGTCGATAATAAGGTTGTTAAAGCTCAGATTTGGGACACTGCTGGCCAAGAAAGGTATCTTTTTTTTGTTTTCAATTCATTTTTAGTGCAGATTTTAATCTGGGTTTCTTTTGTTTTTTCTTAATTTAAATATTCGGGTCATTTTCTTTGGTGTTGTATCCCTGCAAAATAGGGTTTTAATGGTGTTTTATTCTGATCTATCTTCTTCCTTTCGGTATAGATATCGTGCAATAACCAGTGCATATTACCGTGGTGCTCTTGGTGCTTTACTAGTCTACGATGTTACCCGTAATTTTACATATGAAAGCATAGAAAGGTGGCTGAAGGAACTCAGAGAACACACCGATGACAACATCGTGATTATGTTGGTCGGAAACAAGTCGGACTTGCGCCATTTGCGAGCTGTTCGGACAGAGGACGGCAAGGCTTTTGCTGAGAATGAGAACATTTATTTCATGGAAACATCTGCACTCGAGTCTCACAATGTTGAGAATGCGTTCGCCGAAGTGCTGACCCATATGTATCATCTTGCAAAGAGGAAGGCTCTTGAAGTTGGAGATAACTCGGAAGCTTTGCCGAAAGGCCAAACGATCAATGTTAGATTGAATGACGATGTGTCGGCCATGAAAAAAGCAGGATGTTGCTCGTCTTAACCGCAGGCTTTGAAAATTTTATACCTGTTGTTCATCATGTCTGTGTTTTCATTTGTCATTTTCTCACAATGTTAAGTGATAAACCCATCATAACTATTGCTTTTGATGATATGCCAAAATGAAAGATATGCTTTGAGCTTGTGAACCATCCTCTTTCTCTTTAAATACTTGTTTGATACTCATTGCATATATTCGGGTATAAAAACAAGATATAACCCTCCAAAGATTGGACATATTTCCAACGCTCGCATCCGAGCTCAAAATCCAAATAGATAGCAAACTTTGGAGGATATCAATGAAAAAATGACCTAAAAAAGAAAACAACACAAAGTCTTAAGACTCCATTTTTCATCAATATCCAGTCACACTTGTAGCTCAAAAGTACACAATCTCTGTAGCTTTTCTTCCTGAACAAAATGGCCTCCCCAGCAGAAGTTCATTCTGGATTATCACTGGTAAAACCAAAGATGTCCAGTGTTTATAAAGAAACGAGTAGACAAATTTCAGAAGAAAAAACAATTAAAGTTAGGGCCAGACAGCAGTAAAAATGATTTCCTTTTGAGCAAAACTAGCATGTTTTGCTGCACCACTCATGATTCTGCTCTTGACCAATTGTTCTACCACCCAATTTTAGGTGGTACCATGAATTATGAAATAAAGCAAAGAGGGAAAACATGAAGTGGAAGAATTAAAGCATATAGTACTAACAGAGACTGGAAACAACTTTTTCGATAGCTTAGTCATACTTGGTCAGCCGAAAGCATTGCCTGATCAAGTATGGTGAGGTGGATTTCTAGAATCTGCCGTGTTTATGCTGTGCTGTAATATGGCTGTAGCAGAAAGCATTGCCAGACTGATTATTTGTCTTTAGGGCTTTTGGTGTTTCTTTCAAGCATTATGTCGAACACTTTCCGGGCATTATAGTTCTTCTTCTTTTTTATAAAATATAGTTCTTCTTAACATTTCTTCTTTGTTATCTACTGTATTTCCAATAACCATGAATTGCAAATATGAGAATAATTGAAATAAAAATAAACTTTGTAACCAGGTTTTAACTTTTAATTCCAATTCAAATAATATATTACAAAACCCAGCATCCAACATACAAAATCACATTCAAAGCTCAAACAAACTTGAAGTAGAATCAAGACTACGAAAGGAAACCTAATTCAAGCGCTGCAGTTATCCACTCAAATACACAAAATAAACCCACATAATAAAAAAAAACAACCAAGAACTTGCCAGAAGACTGATGAAGGTCGGAAGATCACTTTGGGTGTTCATTTTTGTTAGAGTCGGAGTTGAAAGAGGGAAGGGGATTAGAACCTTTGATGACCCAACCGAGGGCAAAAAACGAAAACCCAGCAAGAATTGCAGTGCCCCAGGCGTGGGAGTACCATCTACTGTACTGCCTGATGGCATACCTCCATTGATCTCTGAGTGTTGAAGGGTCCGGGTTTGATAGGTCGGGTGGGTTCGGGTAACGGAGCTTTTGATGGCCCGAGAAATCGGAGGCCCTGTTGTTTCCGATTTCTGGGATCGATTTAGGCGGTGGGTTCCGATTGGATTCGGGTTTCGGATTTTCCGACATGATCACTACTTTAGGAAACCAAATATTTCTTTGAAACAAGAAGGGGAATCCGAAGATTGAAGACTCGCGTGAACTCAACTCAATAACCAAGATTTATATAGCACGTCCACGTTTTAAACTAACCTGTAAGTTGAACACACGTGGCAGATAAAATGCAATGATCTGTTTTTATAAGTAAAGCTTTGATCTTTGGGTATAAATTTGATACAAGTATTTTCATTTTTTTATCTTTAATTTTTAAAAAGAAAATATTTTTCTTACGTAAAAATTAATTTTTTTAACACTATAAATAATTACCACAGTTTCCATTTGTAACCAGTTAACTACCACAAGTTTTGACTCGTATTTTCTACATAATTTCTGCTCATTATATGCTTATAAGGAGAAATACCTCTCAAGTGTTCTCAAACTTCAAACCAAAACTGTTAATAACAAAAGAAAAGCACCTGGATTATTGATGCCGTCAACTTTATTACAATGAGCTATCATCTTACAAACCAAACCAAGCAATGATCACTGGATTGGCCTAGCCAATGCAAAGCAGGTATCCGGGTTAACCGACATCAACAACTCGATTATAAAAATCTCATTTGGAAGTTGGATATTAAGATGAGGTTCGATTAAACCTGCTTGACACATACAAAATATGAAAATATTAGCCCAAGCCAACTAGCAACAGGTTACATTAGGAGTAATACATGAGAAATGTAAGTCCTCACCAGGGGAAAGTTTCTTCCCACCATATAGCTCTTTTGTTAAGGGGTTAACAGCCCAATGATTGACACCTACACGACTTGTCGGTTGAAACCCAACAATTTTCCCATCTGTTGATAAAACCACCTAGATGCCAACCAAAGGGACACAAACAAGCATATTAGAATACAGGATGTCATGCCATGGCAAGCTCGATCAGTTTTAATTGAGATCCGAAACCTGGATTGCAACCATTTTTCAGTTATAGTTGCCAGCAAAGGCAGTTTTTTCCATACAAGATAAAGTGTCGGTGACTAATACCGACTTAAGCTTGATCGCACTTTCTCATTTCTCCCTCTTTTTTTCCTGATACCTAGTATATAGCTAGAAAGAAGACGGAAAATAAAAGGAAAATTTTAAACCAAGGAGTTCACCTGATAGCTAGCAATATCCTGGACTGATGATTTTATATCATCATCCATTTTCTCCACATCAGCAGAATTAGTTGAAGCTTCACTATTAGAATTTACTTGATGAGGTGCTTTCAAGTAGTTTGGAATTTCACCTATCCAGGCACCAAGGTTGGTTTCTGTTGCTATGTCATCAGGCCAGCCAAAAGCATCCTTGATCTTTTGGATTACCAATATACAGAATGTCCCCGACTATCCATATGAAGTCAATATATCAGTTTTTACATCGAATGCAACTTATGTTAATAATAATAATAATAATAGAATATAACAGAAAAGATCAAAGAGAACTGAATTTAACATTTTAGAGAGTCAGAAATAGGATTGAAGTACATGTCCTTCCTCAAAGAGCAAGGTAGATCATGGATGGGATGTGTTTTAAATCTTGGGAAACTGAAAATTTTGGAAAATAAGACATGCTTCTTGCCAAATGAGCTTGGTTAGGCATTGCTTTAAGAAAATTGCAAATTAATCAGCAAGCAAAACTAGAAACAAGATGAGCCCTGATGACTGTCTTGAAACTCTATCCTTTTTGGTAGTTACTTTTCTAGGCATAGACATAATTCATGGCCTTCCTCAGAGTTTCTCTTCTCCGATGACTTGGTTGTTTAGCTATTAATAGTGTTCCCTCTTGTTGCTAATCTTGCTTCAATAAGATTCCTCTTCAGTCAAAAAATAAAAAAGGGGCCCTAAAAATTTCATTCCTAAATCACATGAATCTTTTGTCAGTGAAGAAAACCTGTATAAGGTCACAAAGACTCTAATAACATAGCCAATTTATAGGGCAGCTTGTTTGCCTATTCTAATCTTAGTATTAAGTTGCCGAGCATGGATACAATAACAATTACATTTACATATACAACTGGCAATGAATTATTAGGATGCTACACACATAGTAACCAGTGTATTCGCACCTTTTCTGTGTCTATAGATTGAATTGTTGTATGCTCGGTAATTGATGACGATGGGGACCTAGATCCTCCAGGGTACTTACGTCCTTTTCCTAGCTGAGGAAAACTATATTGACTGAGAGTACTGATGGTAATGAGAAAAATTCCACTTGCAACGGTGGCAGCTACTCCTTTCAAGAAAGATGAGCTCCTCTGTAAGAAATAGATATAATAAGACAAGGCCAAAAAACTCATGAAGAAAAATCCCACAAAATAAGTGAAGGAACTCAAAATTTTCACAAAAGTAAAATATAGAGTATAGTTCATGAAATACTAACAAAGTAACAATTAATATTGAATATTTCCCAAGAGAATGTTTCAAACGTCCTTGATAAGTCTGGCCAGTACCGGGTTTATTAACACTTCTCCAAGCATTACCAATAATTTTACACATACTTCCACAATAAAAAGCTGTGAAACTTGTTTAATATTGAATATTTTCAAGAGATTGTTTCAAACGTCCTTGATAAGTCTGGCCAGTACTGGGTTTATTAACACTTCTCCAAGCATTACCAATAATTTTACACATACTTCCACAATAAAAAGCTTTGAAACTTGTTTAATATTTACTTAGCTGATTTATTAAATTGTAAATGATTTCCAATCATCTCCCATCTCAAAATTTCTAAACACCAAATACTGGGAGCTCTGCCTATGGGAAAACTTAAGCTTAATAAAACCAAACAACAATAAGGCTTCAGGCTTTAGCATTTCAATACCTTTGCTTTGGACAAGCTGTTGTAATTGGCAATCATACCAGATCGGAGTTGTTTCATGGGCAGCGTATAGACATCTTCATAGTACATATCTAATATATCAGCCAGTCCAACCTAAAAACATTTGTAAGCTACCATCAAAAGGATAAGGTGAATATGCCATGAAATAACGCATGCTATAAAACTAAATAAAACATTAAAGCTACACCTTAATTATAAAAAAGCACTATAGATGACATGCAAATCAAAAGAAAGAACACCAAAGGAAGGAATAAAGTACCATTTGGGAGTGTGTCAAAAGAACTTGCCACTTATTCTCGTCAGATTCTCTCCATCCTTCAAATTTTACACCCTTAAGTGCACTTGCATCTATTTCAAGCCGATATGCAGGTATAAACTCACTTGTCCAAGCACTAAACTCAGGACCACCAATCTTTTCCAACTTAGACTGCAAAGGTTGAGACCACCAATAGTTTTTCCGCCTCAAATCCATACCTTTGAAACTCTCTTTACTCGAATTAAAACTGTCAAGAAGACTCTTTGCATTTTGAACTATCTCATCTTCAAACACTTTATATATAACAACCGAGGAATCTTTTGATACGACCCTTTTCAACTTCCGAAACCAGCCAAAGAAGTTAGAGGGAGTTTTTCCCAATAAATGTTCCAGGAACTGTTTTTCAGTGCTCTGTAAAGCCAAGATGCAAACAACTTCACCAAGCACAGAGATAACCCTTTCTTCTGAAAACCGGAGAGTGAACGATGTCGAAACCTGCTAATAGTAAATGCATAACAAGAGAACTGAACCTATCAGTATCAAGTGGAACCTGCAGAAAAGACATTAATTATGGGATTACGTGAAAAAATCCGACATACAGATAACCCAAATAACACAATCCACAAATAAGAAATACTGAAGCGTATCTAACCTCTCTTGGATTCTCAAGGTCTTCCATATCTCTTTCAGTTCCAGGTGGAAGAAAGACAAATTCGAAACTAAAAAGCTTTTGCATAACTACTTGCTTAAAAGTCATTGCCAGTATGTTTTCCGATGATGTCCCAGCTAAAATATCTTCAGAGAATGATTTTTTCAGCTTTTGAGCCTTCTCTTTAACTTTCCTAGCCGGTAAAAACTGTTCTCAAAGAAAAAACATAAATAAAGATACATATTTAATAATTACTTTCTTAGTTTTCATAAACGACGGGAATGAACTTACCAATCGCGTTGAAACAGTGGCGCTTTTAGAGGTGGGACCTGCGTAAACAGTTTCAATAACCATAGCAGGGACACCGGACTCGACGTGCTCGGTAGCGGCTCGGCCTCCATCGGCGGCTGCAGCCGTCAAAGCCTGGTCGAAGCTGACGGCTCCGACAAGAGTGAGGCGAGCGAGGTCGTTTTCGTAGGTTCGAACACAAGGAAGCGTGGTTCCATTGGATTCAGCTATGAATTTTAGGGCTTCCTGTTCGGTGGACAGAGGCGGCCTCGGAGAAGAACGGGAGAGAATAAGGAAGGGAATCTTGGGGTCACGAAAGGGCAGTTTGGGTAACAAAGTGAACTTTGTAAGGGAACGATTAGGGAATTGGATGGAAAATGGAGGGGACAGTGAGTGAGTGAACGCCATTAATGGGAGCAGAGGGCTTTAGGGATTTTAGTAGGGTTTTCTTATTTATTTTTGAACGTTGAAGGGAAGGCGCATGTTAGCAATATGGACACGTGGCCTCCACAAAACGATGCCGTTCCTACAGCCTTGCGTCTTCTCTATAAATTGAAAAGAATAACCTAAGAATGGCTCGTCCTCTTTCTCTTACCTCTACTTCGTAAAAGCATCGGAAATTAGGGTTTCCGATCCTCACAATTATCGGGATAGCCGTCTGGTAAGTTTCGATTATTCTATTGTTTTCCTTTTCGATGAACTTCTATTTTTATTCGTTAATTTTTTTTTTGATTACATAAATCTGGTTGATATGTTCGTCGGTCGGGATTTGTTAGCTTAGCCTTTGAAATTTTCTTAATTTTTATGTTGTTTGTCCTCAAGAAGAAAGGAAAATCGAAGACATAATTAAATTATTTGTGAGAAATTTGAGAATGAAAAATGATTTATGTTTTACCGCTTAATCTAGTATTTATCCTGAAAAGAAAAGAAGACATTCCTGAAGTAATTAATTAGGGTTTAAAGTGAAGAATCTGATTTTGGTGAGAAATTATTTTTTTGCTGTTGTAATTTCAGAACTTTTTGGCTCATTTTATTTGTAAATTGAAGTGCTGAAGGAATTGAAGCATGGGAAAGAGGAAATCAAGAGCGAAGCCTGCGCCTAAGAAGCGAATGGATAAGCTTGACACCGTTTTCAGCTGCCCCTTTTGTAACCATGGAACAAGTGTTGAGTGCCGCATGTGAGTATAAGCTTCTTTTATTTGTTTTATGAGAAAATTCATCCTTATTTTGATCTAATTTTCAGACAGTGCGAAGTATTATGTGAAAAATGGCCTTGTTGTATCATAAGAATTTGTATAGGGTTTGTGATCTTCGGTACTAAGTATCGGTGTTTATCTGTTCCAGTGACATGAAGAACTTGATTGGTGAAGCCTCTTGCAGGATATGCCAGGAAAGTTTCAGCACTGTTATAACAGGTACTTGCGGTGCTGTTAATTTTGTGCTGGTAAAAAAAACTTAAACTTTTTGTAGTTGTGATGGGAACCAAGTTGGGAGCCTTTTGTTAACACATCCATGTTTCCTTTTGTTTCTGTATTTGCAGCTTTGACTGAACCGATAGACATGTAAGTGCCTATCAATGCGGTGTTTACTGTTTTACTCATTATATCATTGCGTGATGTCTCTTGTATGTTTATTCTTCTTTGGACTTTTCAGATACAGTGAATGGATCGATGAATGTGAGCGGGTTAACAACCTTGAAGAAGAAGAAGAAGAAGAGGATGTGGATCAGGATGAAGGTTATGTGCCCAGAAAACGGGTTTCAACAGCTGAATGGGATGATTAGTGGTAGTCATGAACCCTATAGAACTTTCTAAGTCTGTAAATTATGTTAGTTTGCTGTGGGGAATAGTTGGTGTGCATGTATGCATATCTAACATCATCTTATGAATTATGACATGAATTGCCTAAGTGATCTATTGCACGCCATGCATATCTAATTTGTGTTGTACAATCCATTGATAATGACTGAAGAAATTTATTTGCATTGCAAGCCCTATTATAAGTTAGATGAGCTCCAGGATTGTCTAAAATGGAAAGTAATGGTCGTCCCTATGAAGCTGCTTGCTTTGAAGTGCAAATGAGTTGTAAAAACCAAAAATAAGAGCTTGAGTTGGTTTTCTGATACTGATGAACTGCAAATGGAGGATGAGTCTTAAATATGGTTATTATAAGATAAAAAAGGATAAAAATTTATTGTAATTGGAAATTTTATTAATAGCCGTTTTGAATAAATTGAGAAATGTTTTTGAATAATGTTTTAGAGTGAAACTGAAAATATTTATAACAATTCAAGTAAGTTGTGTAATTATTCTACTTAGAATATAAAAATTATCATTAAGATATTCTCGGTTATAATTGAAATTTTTACCAATTCTATAATTTTTTAGAATATGTCGCAACCGTCTTTAGGTTGGACCCCGGAATTGGGTTTCGACTTAAAAATGTGGATTGGAGTCGCTACCGATCATTTATTTAAGAATAAATAGGTTGATCGGATACCTTATTTCTTACCTGATCTGCGTCTTTCCAAAGATGTGTCGGGTTCGGGACTCTGTTACAGTCAAGGAAAGATTAGCACCCTTGAACTGCCCTTTCGGTACTACGTAATTTCCAGTTGTCTTTGATTAAGAAAATTATAAGTTTAAATTAAAAGATAAAATAATGATCCAAAATTACTTACCTTTGACGGATTTACAAATATACCCTTTAAAAGTTAAAATATGGGTTAGAAGAGATGAATAAATGATAAATAAAGTAAAACAAATAAAATAAGGAGATTAAGAAAGAAATAAAGTAAATATAAAATGAATAGAATATATAAAATAAAAAAATATAATAACACTAATATATACATAGTAAACAACTAAATAAAAATAAAATGATAATACAAATATATAAATAAAATAAATAAAAGAATATAAAACATAAAATATAGGATAAAGATAAAAAGAAAATAGATAAATAAATGAGTAAAATATATAAAAAAGTAAAAACATATATATATATAAGTAAAATAATAATAATAAAAAAATCAAAAGTAATATACGTATTTATACATGTAAAATAGGAAATATATAAATATATATATATATAATAACACTAAAAAAACATATATATATATATATATATATATATAATAAAATTAATAGAAAGTAACATGCATATATAATAAGAATAATAAAGTAGGAAAAAAAATAATTTAGGGGTGAATTAAATATTTAAAAAAAATGAACACGCCTCGGGGGTATATCTAAGTTCGAAACTTCGAAACCCCACCCATTTTTGGCTATATGCGCAACCCACGTTTTGGGTTATTCGAACCAAATCTCAAGAAAAATAACGTGCACATGCGAGAAATGAACGAACCAATGTAAAAAAGATGCTACATTTTATTTCCTTTTCGAATCGTTTACAATAGCTTTGCCTTTGCATTTTCCGTGCTTTCCTCTGTGTTTTGTGTGTAAATCGTGTGTTACAATAGTGAGTTACAATGACTATTTATAGTGCTTGTGGATCCTATCTTTAAGAGTTTAAATCATAGTAGAACTCTATCCTATTTTAGGAGTTTGAATCCAAACAAAATTATATCCTATTTTTAGGAGTTTGAATCCTAGTATGACGAAAAGGTGTGTTGACAGAATAGACATGTAACATTGAGGTTAACATTAGGGGTCATTGAATTATTACCAATTGTATAATTTTTTAAGTTAACATTGGGGGTTGAAACTCGACTCGAAAAATCAATTTTTTTTCAATTTCAAGTTATTCAAGTCAACTCGAATTATAAATTCAATTTTTGAATTCGAGTTGAAATTTGGAAATTTTGAGTTACTTGAAAATTTGAAAAATTGACTGTATTTTGATAGTTTTACAATTTAGTCTCTAATTTCATTATTCATTCAATTCTTCCCTCATTTTAAGTCTATTTATAACCAAATTTGAATCGCATGCTCCTAAACCATAGCAGAATATATATGTATTTTCAATTCCTCTTTTCGACAACAAGTTTTTTATTTTTCAATTTAGTCCCTCAATTTTCATAATTTTCTTATTTCTTCAATTTATCCTTTATTTTAAGTCTACTTTTTACCAAATTTGAATCATATGTTCATATACCATCATAGAATACTTATGTAACTTCAATTCCTTTTTAGTAAAAATGTACTCTCTTTTTTAATTAAACCATTAACATTGTATTTCTATCAATTTGGTCTTTTGACTGCAATTGTTTGCAAATTCTTTTCTTCCTATCAATTCATTAACTCTTTTATATTTCCATCAATATTTTAACTTAAAATAAAGATAGTATAATATTGTGAATATATTTTATAATTTTAGATTGTATTTGATATATCAAATAATGTTATAATGTGAAAATAATATAAAATATATATCTTATATGGTTAGAGAAAGTCAAAAAATTGGAAACAAACCTTAATACTATAATAAGAATAATAAAATTAACATAGAAACTCAAATAAATCAAGTCAAATAACTCGAATCAAATTTCTTAAACTCAACTCGACTAAAAAAATTAAAGTTAAGTTCGAGTCGTAAAATATGACTCGTCAACTCGAATAACTTGAAATTTTTTAACTCGGATCAACTCAACTCGATCGAATGCTCACCCCTAGTTATTATAATACTATCTAAAGTTAAAATCTACCTTAAATAAATTACATCTTCTGGAAAATGTTTTATGGTGTTTGGAAGATGTTATGTAAACCATTTTTCACTAGTTGATAAATTTTTTAGAAATTATTTATTGCAAATATAAAATATAATAAATAATATTATTTATTATAAAAACTTAATATTATTATTTTAAAAATATTAAAATAATTTATTTAATACTATTTATGCCAATATTATTATTAAAATATTATTTCTATAATTTTATAAATAAAAATATTAACTCTAGTATATTCTATTAAAATAAAAATATGATAAATTATATTGAATATCTATAAAAACAAAAATATTATATTGTATTTTAAAATTATTAATAAATATATTTTAAGGAATTTATATAATATTATTAGACTATTATATTAATATTAAATACATAAATAAAAGTATTCATTATTAATAATTCAATAATATTATTTTTAAGAAATTAAAAAATACTATAACTTTTATTAATAATTTATTATATATTATTAAAATAATAATATAATAGTATCATAAATTATATAATATAATTGAGTATATTATTGTAATAATATTATTATTATATTATATTATTAAAAATAATAAATATATTTTAAATATGCTAATAATTAATATTTTTTATTAAAATGATACTAAAATAGCATATTAATATTAAATTTATAAAATAATATTATTTTGAGTATTTATGATTCTGGTCGCAGAGGATCCGAGGTAAAGGAAAAAGGCAATCAGACACAGATAGTAGTTACGAGAGCTGGTAGATCAACTCAATCGCAGCGACAATTCCCATTATGTCAGCAATGTGAAAAATATCATTATGGCATATGTAAAGCAGGATTAGGAGCTTGTTTCTGCTGTGGAGACACCGATCATTTTGTGAGAGACTGTCTGATGGAAAGAGAAAGATTTGTTCAGACAGAGAGATCAGTGATAGTGTCCTAGAGAGGTGGTCAAGGTAGAGGGAGGGGATATTCATAGATAGCTTCTCAGTCCGATGTATGTGCTCCAACCAGAATCTACAAGACCAATGAGGATCGTGATGACCCAGAGATCATAGCATTACTTTCTATCTTTATGATGAGCCTGTATTTATTTTGGTTGATTCAGGTTCTACGCATTCCTATGTTAGTTCGAGATTAGTCAAAGATAAAAAAATTATGTTAGAACCCTTTGATAACGATACGATAGCTATAAATTTGTTGGGTCATAGTGCCAAAGTTACATGGATTAGTAAAAATTACCCGGTAAAGATTTAAGTGGTCGTATATTGTTGCATGAAGCGATTATTTATGAAAGATGCAGAGGGCTCTAAAATAATAGTAATTAAAGAAAAAAACAAAGTCCTTGCGTAATGTGATATCCACAATGACAGCAACGAAGTTGATGGGAAAATGATGCACAACTTTTCTAGCAAATGTGGTGGATACTCGGACATCTGAAGTTCAATTGGAAGATATTCCGACGGTTCAAGAATTTTCAGATATTTTTCCTAATGAATTACCCGAATTACCTCCTGATCGAGTGGTAAAGTTTAATATTGATATTTTCCTAGGTACAGCGCTTATTTCGATGGCTCTTTATCGAATGGCTCCAACGAAACTTAGAGAGCTTAATGCTCAGTTATAGGAGTTACTTGATCAAGGTTTTATTAAACCAAGTGTGTCTCCGTGGGATGCATTAGTATTATTTGTTAAAAAGAATGATGGATCGATGTGGTTATGTATAAACTATCGGTAGTTGAATAAAGTGACGATAAAGAACAAGTACCCTCTTCCGAGGATTGATGACGTGTTCGATCAGATCGATGGTGCTTCAAGTTGATGTGACATCTATGACTCACTAAGTTTTATCTCACCTTAGCTTATTGTTGCCTCACTAAGTTTTTCTTAGCGTGATGTTTTTCATACGTAGGTTTTTGTATAGATAAGGACATGCAGTGAGGAGCCTCCCATACATCGTTTTGGAAGTCATATATATCATCAGTATCATTAAGACATCTAGGATGTTACTTTTGAATTTTAGTGGCATGTATAATTATGTCAGTAGCTTTATTTATCGGATTTATTTTTAAATGGTTTGTAATAGTAAACTAGGACCAATTTATTTTGTCTAGATTAGTTTAATCAGTATTTATGCATGAGTAGAATATATATATATATATATATGTTTTAAAAACGAAACAAAATTTTAAGCATTTTGCTAAGTGAATGTTTGTCGAGCTGATGTGACATCTATAACTCGTAATTTAGACATATACGGGTTATGGGTATTACATCTCAACAATGTTAGTATCATTGTGTTTAATTCTTGTCTAGTGAGAGAAGTTTGAGAAAGCTCCAAGTGCAAGGGAAAGGAGAAGCTCACCCTTGGTTGAGCTTAGTGTTTTCTAGTAGCTTAGGAAACTCAGGTAACTCACTTCTAACTCAACTCTACCACATTCTAGATCACTAGGTGAGTTTGTTAGCTTGCATGAGTTAGGAAGCAATTTCATGGTAGATTCAACATTTGGGTGTTTTTCAGTATGTTATGGCCTTATTATGACCCTTATTATCAGACATAACACTCTAATAAAATTTGAGAACCTTAGTAGTAGGGGTGTGCATTATCGCATATCGGATATTATCCGATCTGAATTTTGGATATCCAAAAATTTCGGATACCTAAAATAATGATTCGTATCCGAACCAAAAAAATCAGATATCCAAATATCTGGATCTGAATCCGATTTTTTTTTTTTTTTTTTTGCAAAAATTTTAAAAAATTAACAGAAATTAAAATATTCATATTTACTTGTACCTACCATTTGCATTTCCCTTTTTTGGGTCATATCAACAGTGAAGTTCACTTAAGAAAAATCTGAATAAATACATTTGAAGAAAATTCCAGCTCTATATTAAAATAAGTAGTGATTAGTTACAATGCTTGATATTGTTCAAATAGATATCATACATTCTAAAGATGAATGTGACGGATCAAGCTCATTTCACACGGTGCACACCACAAAGCCAAAAGACCACCAACAAGCACGTTGTCTGAGTGTGAAGATCAAATGAGATTCAAACACAAAAGAGTCTAAATTATACAAATTAACGAATTGAAATATACCCCATAAGAACTTCGAATCGACAACTACAACAGATGAAAACTCATAACACCCTGTGGAAGTAACCCTCTTATTTGACCATTAGGAAGTTGGATATTCTACATCGACACTTACTTTTGGTTTTGTTCCACCTTGGCTTGAATTTTATGTTCTAGAAGAGATATATCTGTCTCGAGGCCGAACATTCTGTTAAGTGCATGCATGTTCTCAAGGGTCTCACTTAGAGTTCGACTGTCACTGCCATCACATCTCAGGTGCTGCAATGGACCATGGAGAAGTTTGTTCACAATTCCACGGCTGAGATCATCCACTACCTTCATTGACTTCTTTGGGATATTTTCCCCCATCTTTGATAAGCATTTCTCTAACTCTGCAGCTCGAATTCTCTCTGCATAGGCTCTCAACTTCTTGATGGTCGGAACGGTTTCAAGTGAATCCCTCCACGCATCAAACTGTTTTGATTCCTCAGCAATAATAGTCTGAGCTTTCATTGCTTTTCGTAGTCGGTCCTCTTTATTAACAGTTACAACCTCCTTCAGGTCATCGACATTGTACAGTCGTGTGCTTTTAACATCTGAGACACATGATCCCACATTTTGTGGAACGGAGATGTCATCGAAGAGCCTTGAACCACCAACTTTAGAGCTGACAGGGGGGAAGTCCTTGACATTTTCTTTCAAAAACAATGGAGTTTCTGATGCAGTACTAGTAAAGATCACATCAACTTCAGCTGAATAAGCGAGCATGTCTGTAAGGGGTCTGTAAATAATCTCAACACCTTTCATCTCCTCACGGATTGTTGCGACTTTCTCCTCACTTCTATTAACAACCATCTTGGTGCAACCTTTTGCCACCAAGTGCTTGATCATAAGCTTTCCCATCTTTCCTGCTCCAATAACTAACATTCGAGCAGCAGCATGTGAAGACTCAGGCAGCTTCATCAAAGCCAATTCAACAGCAGCAGAGCTAACAGAAACAGACCCAACAACAATGTTAGTCTCTGTTCTAACCCTTTTCCCAACAGTAATTGCATGTTTGAACAGCCCACTAACATTCCTTTCGAAGCCAACAACACCTTGCCCAACTTTGACAACTTGTTTAACTTGTGCAAGAATTTGACCTTCTCCAAGGACAAGATAATCAAGACCAGCAGATACTTCAAAGATGTGTTTTGTAGCATCCTTGTTGTACAACAAAAATTGGTGTTCACAAATCTCTGAAACTGGGATACCACTAGTCTGCAACCAAATTGCAGTTTCTTAAACTGCTACTAAATTTAAAAGTTTCCATAGAGGTAAATATCACAAATCATCGAATCCATATAATATTATATATTTTCATCAAAAAAATATTGTACCTTTAACTTCATCCAAAACACTGAACCATACTATGCATCCTAGTTCTCAAGCACATACTCATCATTTTCCCTCGGAAAACGTAGCAAAGTTCAAGAATAAAATAAGTTACCTTTGAAATCAGGAGAGAGGGATGAATAGTAGAGGACAAAAGGAAACCAATGAGATCGATTAATGCTCTGGGTCGGCGTGGAGTTCAGAAATGAGCTAAGGTGAGGGGTTGGAATTGGGAAATAAAAGGGTTGAAATTGGGAAATAAAGGGGTGAGTCTCCGATCTTCGTATATAGCCCAGTTTTTTAATAGGTTTTTGGATAATTTGAAAACGAATTTTTATTGATTTGTATTTGATTTGATAATCCGAAAAAAAATTGGATACCCGATCCGAATTATCTGAAAATTGAAAAATGGATCGAATATCTAAAATTTTAGATCGGATCGGATCAGTCACTAGCTGGGCACAGATGCCCTAATACTCGATGGAGTAAGTTGGTCGGATGTATGTTTCTGATGTAATTTTGGATCTCACCCCAGATGTAATACCCTAAATATCGGGTCAGTGACTATATTGAAATAATTTAAAATTTTTTGGAATTTAAATGAATAAAATAGTAAAGTATAAGAAAATATTTAGAAATTATGTTTAAGACCAATTAGTAAGAATAGAAGAATGAAATGGCATTTTGGTCCTTTAGAGGGAAATAGATTTAAGAGTTATTTTAATTAGAGTATTTAAGAAGAGAAAAAAAAAAGGGAAAGTTGAAAAACAATCTAAGTCATCTTCTCTTCTCCTTCTTCCAGTGTTCCCGTGCTCTCCTCCATAGCCAAAGGTGAGGCTTCATTTAGCTAGTTTTTCATTTTGTTTTTGGTTTGTTCTTGAAACCTTAAGTGATGTGAAGCTTAAAAAAGGTTTAAAAATGATTAAAACTAATATATGGACGATTTATTTGAGATTGAAGAAACTGGATTTTTTAGTGATATGTTGAAATATGAGTTTTTATTGAGGTTTACAAGTGTATTTGACTTGTCAAAGAAGTAAATAAGAGATTAGAAGCCTTAAAAGTGATTAAAAACATGTATGAAAAAGTAGTGTGATTCTTAGTTTGGGATGTTCGTTGGAGATTTTAGATGTTATAAGAAGCTAAATGAAAGAAAGTTGGTTGGGTTAAGTAATGTTAAGTTTAAGGGTATTCTTGGAGGTAAAAGTAAGAGAATTTAGCGAAATTTGGGAGAAAATGAGCTAAAAATTTGAAAATTTGGGTAAGTGTATCGATACTAGAAGAACAGTATCGATACTATAGGTTTAACTTTGAAGAATTACGATGAACGGTATCGATACTATAGGTTTAAATTTGAAGAATTATGATGAACAGTATTGATATTGATGCAATTAGTATGATACTGATGTGGGTATCGATACCATGGATTCCAGAATGCAGAAATTGTATCGATATTGAAGGGAGTATCGGTACCATAGTATAGAAGTATCGATACCATGGTAGGGGTACCGATACTATTGAGTCTGAAAAATTTAAAATAGGATAATTTTTTATAGAAATTGAATATAATAATACTTGTGAGTATTATTAAAAGTATAAATGTTAGAGAGTATACTAACGTTTGTATGGTGTGTGTACTTAATGGATGCTTGTATAGATCATAACTAAGCTCCCGAGTCAAGAAAGTAAAAGGGCAAGAATAAAGTTGCCGAGTAGTTAGACATCATTACAGTATACTAGTGAGGCATATCAGGTGAGTGCATTTATTGTACTTATATGAAAGGAGAAAAACTTGCGATGAATCAACCTTGAATTTTTTGTTAAATGTATGTTTTATAATTTTTTGGTATATTTTCATAACGTGTATGGGAATGATATTATGAATAAGTTTTAGAGTATGAACTGCTCTAAAATGAATGGATGAATATTGTTGTTGTGCAATGGTTATCGATGTTAGTAAAATAAAGGTCTAAATCTATGAATTTGACTTAAAAGCCCATTGTATGTGCATTGAGAGTCATAGGTGCATTTCGGCATAAAATGTGCACTAATGAAAGTTATCGATCGATTTTGTTAAATGCATAATTGTGCATTATCGGCATAAAAGGTGCCACCCATGATATTCATAAAAGGTGAATTACTATTTTGACATACTTTGTGTATGAAAGATTATCGATCGATTTTGTTAAATGCATAACGGTTCATTATGGCATAAAAGGTGCCACTCATGGTATTCATAAAAGGTGAATGACCATTTCGACACTTTGGTGCAATGCATGTACCTTACATTCTCATTTAACATACATTGGAAAAATAAAAGATAATTGGGAAAAATATACAAAAAAATAGGTATGATGGGCATACTATGAATAGTTTCGATGACTATCTGAAAGAAACATGATTTAACTGAGATGGTTTTAACTAATTCTTATGAAGTATACAATTTAGTTTGTATTTCAATAGCCATGATATACTTATGTATGAATTGCAGTTCCTTTACATTATTATGCCTCACTAAGTAAATACTTAGCGTGTGTTGATTTCACGCGTATGTAAGACAAAGACTAGCCGAGTAAGGAGTGCAACAGAGATCATCAATCCAATGTTGACTCATCAGTAACTATAGGACAATTATTTCTATTTTTGAAACTTAGATGGCATGTATTCGAACTTATGAAAATGCTCTGGAATGTATTAAAGTTATAATTTTTGTAATATGTTACAAAGAATGTTTTATTATTATATTAAAATGTTTTGTTTTATTTTTAAACAAAATTTTATGGGTTTTACAAATAAGAAAATGTTTTTAAAAGTCATGTGATATATGTGACTTGTGTGCGAAACCTTATACAAGAAATGGGTGTTACACCAGATACATGTTGGTATTTAGGAAGGTTGTAGGGGTGTGTGAGCTAGGAGATGCAGAACGCTCAGCCACACCATAGTGCCTACTTTAGTATGTTAAATCAATATTTTCCTGTCTTTATACATATGCCACTAACATGTGCATCTAGTGAATTTATCTAGTATAGTACAGTTATTAGTGAGACACTGAGCTCGTAAGCTCGGCGTTCGGAATGTGTTTCTGTGTGCAAGTTTTCTAAGAGGCAATCTGAAGATCGTTATCGTCACCAGATATTCCAGCACAGTCGGGGCACCATAATACGTCTTAATTTATTTTAGAGGACATATACTATTGTAGATCCTTTTGTATTCAAATGTAACTCTATTCTTATTTTAAACTCGATGTATTTATTCTGGATGATTTGGGAGCCCCACATATTTTGTAAATTTTGAATCATTATGTTTTTATTTTATTTTACTTGGGATGGATTTTACCTCATGTTTTACAATCATTTTTGGAATAAAATTTTTGGATTAGTCACTTCGGTGGTCTCGTGTGACGTCGTAATCCATTGATCTTCAGATCAAACTGGATTAGGGTGTTACCCAACTATATAAAAGGGTTATGGTCCCCAAGAAATAGATATCTCATATTTTCGCTTATCTCCGTCAGAGAGTTTATACTCAAGATAACTTTATCTTCTTGGAAGATCACAACCAAAGAAATATTCAAAGATTTCAACCTATTAATTAATTCATATATGCTTTCGTAAATCTAGTGTTTTATTCTTGATGATTTGACATGATTATATCCTAATTATTTTTCATATTTATTATGGTTTGATTCTAACGTGTTTATCTGCAAATTTTAAAGCATAAACGAATCCATGTATATCAAACCTTTCAACCCTCTACACATGCATGCATGTATTTGCTCAGATGAGAAAGAGTTATATGTGAGAAACCCCCCAACAAAATTACAGGGTTATTATAAAATAAATGTAGTATTATTTATTTGAATTTATTTAAAAATAAAATGACTCTTTAAATCCATAAAGTATTAGGATTAATATTGAAATTATTGAAGAGAATAAATTTATCTCATGGATCATTAGCGATTCATTCCTTTTGATTTAAACGTAGAATCATAGTTAATGAGAGAATGACCATTGACTAATGTTTCTTTATGAAGAAGAAAAAAGAAACAAGAAAAAAACATGAGAAAGAAGATTATTTTAGATCAAAAACGGAAAAGATATAGAGAACCCCTCATCGATTTTCAGCCAATTTGATCTAACTTAAAAATATATATTCTCCACCTGAGATCTGATTCTATTCGAGTTTAGGGATGATCTCATTCGATCTGAATTGAACCTTATCTTTTGAGATAAATCTCAAACCCTAATTGATCTAATTCGAAATAAATATATTTATAAAAAAATATTATTTTTATTTAATAAAAATAAAGATATAATTAAAGATAATAATATATAGGGTTATTATTGTAATTATATATATATAATATTTAGATTATTTTCAGGTCAAGTAATATTAAATATTTTTTCACTAAATTTGAATTCGATCCAACATGAACATATTTTTTTTAAAATATGATCTGACCTAACCTAAACTTAATTTTAAAAATATCTACCCAATCAAATCGGGTTGGATCGAGCCTCATCGAGTTGGGTCTAGTACCCATCCTGAGAAGTTAATGAAAGCATACTACTGCCCAACAAGCTGCCAAACCGCTTAATCATCTTTGCCCCTTTGCAACTTTTATGTAAATCTTATCGCCTGCAAATTTTCTCTCGACAATTTTCTGATACTAAAAAAACTAGATCCCTTTGAGAAGCAAACGGATTCAGTGGCTTATGGATCGAGAAGTAGTTGAATCCTTTGAAGCTCAAGCTCATTTATATAAACACATATTCAACTACATAAGTTCAATGTCTCTCAAGTGTGCTGTTCAGCTTGGAATCCCTGATGCAATCCACAACCATGGCCAACCCATCACTCTATCCGAACTCCTCTCGGCTCTTTGTATCCATCAAGCCAAATCTAGCTTCACTTATCGGCTGATGCTGCTGCTGATGCACTAGGGATTCTTCGCTACGACAACCAAAGTCTATAAAGATGAAAAACATGAAGCATATGTCCGCACACGGTTTTCCAATATACTCGTCAAATAAAAGATCAATTGTTTATCACCCTTTGTTGTGTCAA